TCATAGGTGCAACCGTTTTGACACGGTGGGGGGAATAAGCACAGAGCCCCCACACTCATCCCTCAGAACCCTAAGTGGTAACTTATTCTTATTGGCTCTCACCTTTGCCAGTCTGCACTCCTGACAATGCCCAGGTATTGTTTGAGGAAGAGGATGATGTGGGTCTGTCCCTATTTAGGAGGAGAGAGAAAATATAGCTGCACAGCCACAGACTGTGCTGTTCTACATGCATTTTTCAAAAGCCCAATAGTGTTTTCTATCTGTTTCTAAATATGCGTGTTCCTGTAAATTACAGAAAGTGCAATGAGGGATAGTAGTACAGAGTAGTATAAAGCTTTCAGTAGTAAGTGATCATAAAACATTAGGTATTGCTTGGAAATTACAATAAGCCAGTGTATAGAGTTGGATCCTTATGAAATGACTTACTCTTCATTTTTATATTGTAGTCCTTGCAAATACATTGGGAATGCTTAAGTTGTATCTGTGTCCCCCTGACAGCTTGAAAGACACGTAAGAAAGGCTTGTGCCTTTGTGTATTAGCAATTAAAACTATATAAGAAATATAACCACTTTTCTGCAGACTTCGTAGCACATGTGAGCTTACATCCTAGCTCATCAGATGGGTCTCACACCCTTACTAAACTGTTTAGTATATGCTGAATATTTGGGAAATAAATGGTTACTACTAGTCTGAACTTATTTTCTGATTATTGTTCTCTTTGCTTCAATTTCAGGAATTCCTACCATATTCATTATTACATGGACAGTGACACGGATTATTTTAGAGGACACTGGGTAAGTATGCTGGGGAGAAAAGCTTAAAGCCTACAAATGTGCCATTACTAGTCATGTTTTGTACGTGGTGGTATTCATACAGAAGTAGTTTGCTTTTCTGAAGGAGACAAAAATTCAGTAAAGATGTTTAGAAGCTCTTCAGAATGCAGCTTATGCTTCCAGTTTACTTTGAAATGCAAAGTGCAGGATGGTTAGAGAGAGATTATAACTGATGTTAGCCTTTGAGACCTAAATATAGAGCTGTCTGATTCAAAATAATACTTAAAATAGCAGTAGGGGGTCCTTGGATTGTGTGCTGCCACGCAGTACTGGGCATCCTAATTTCAAAGAATCATAGACTCATTAAGGTTGGAAAGACCACTAAGATCATCTAGTCCAACCATCAACCCATCACCACTGTTACCAAACCATGTCACTCAATGTGACATCTACCTTTTTCTGGAAAATCTCCAGGAACAGTGACTCCACCATCTCTTTGGGCAGCTTGTTCCAATACTTCACCACTTCAAAGAAGAAATTTTTCCAACCTGAACGTCCCCTGGCATAACTTAAAGCCATTACCTTTTGTCCAGTTGCTAGTTACACAGGAGAACAGGCTGACTTCTATAACCTCCTTTCAGGTAGTTGCAGGTAGAGATAAGGTTTCTCTTGAGCCTCCTTTTCTCCAGAATAAACAATCTCAGTCCCTCAGCTGCTCTTCAGAAGACTTGTGTTCCAGACCCCTCACCAGCTTTGTTCCCCTTTTTTAGACACGCTCCAGAGCCTGAATGCCTTTCTTGTAGTGAAATACCTAAAACTGAACACAATACTCAATGTGGCCCCTCCAGTGCTGAGTGAAGAGGGGTGATCACCTCCATGGTCTTGCTGACTACAATGTTTCTGATAGAAGCCAGCCTTCTTGGCCAACTGGGCACACTGCTGGCTGTCAGTTAACATTCCCAAATCTTTTCTCCATGAAGCTTACCAGCAACTTTGTCCCCAGCCTGTACTTTTTTGATAATAATTTTAGTTTTTCCTTTTTTTTTTTTTTAACCAAGTCACTATACTGGATGGAGGGCAATACACAAAACATAAGAGAAAATAGGGCTGATATTTGGTACAGATTATAAAAATTGTTTATCTAGATAGCTGAAGGTGAACTTACTAACTAGCAACACAATAGACTGAAATCTAGAATTCTTTCGGTATATCAAAATTGTATTCCCAGAAGAGATGCAGTGTAATGTAAACATAAGAGACATGTCTGTAGGTAAAGCCACGAGTAACTAGAGCTTGGCCTGACTTTTGGCATGGAAAGGGAAGATGAGATTCAAATTTTTTTTAGGAAGATTGGACTTGCTTCCACTGTCCCTAAGGCATGAGAGATCATTTCTAGCTAGCAAGACAAACGGTTATCACGCTCCACTTTTTTGGATCTGGCTGATATTTTTTGTTCAGTACTGCTTTTAAACTGAAAAATCATATTGCACATAAACTCTGTTTTCTTTGCAAGGCCTCCAACTTGTAAACTAAAGGGTAGCTCCTTTCTCCTTCATCATTACTATCTCAGAGGAACTTTGTAGGGTATTACTGATGCTTAAAATTACTCTTTCAGAGCGTTCATTCTCAGAGTATTTATATCAGAACTGCTGAGCTGACAGTGAAAATTAATTTTTCAGTTTTTCAGACAAAGTTTCAGGTTCAGTCTCATATTTTCCTAAGCCAGTTCTAGCCATCCATAACCTAAATATCCCACAGGGAAATTATGTTATTTAAATTGTAGCTGTCAGTTGTGTTAGATCTTCCTGCTACCTAGAGGCTGTTGTTGAGTGCGTGCTGGAAAAGTATCCTGTCACAAAGTGAAACTAACTTGGTTTTCCTAAAGGTCAACATCTTCCATAATTTCTAATGTTATGGTCTGGTGCCTAGTATTAGAGCTCATTTGAATATGTGTATTGAAAGCAGAGAAACAAAAATAAAAAGCAGAAAAAGATTAAATTCCAAATTCTAGGATTTGTGATTTTAATGTTCTTGGAATTGCGTATAGCAAACACTTCTCTTCATAGATCTTGCTTGCCAGATGGTATTAGTGTCAACACAATTTTCCCTCTTTTTTTTATAGTTGCTGGGATACAAATGAGCATGGTGGTCCTTGGTGGGTTATACGAATACCAATTTTAATTTCTATTATAGTAAGTAAACTTTAAAGCATGAATTATATATCAGTTCAGCACTGTGCAGTGCATATAGCCATTATTCTTTGCTGCTAGTTACAGACAAGCAAGAACTCTGTATTAATGAGAAGAAATTCATGGTCGGAGACATGTTATAACATCAGATACTGAGCACATTAAGATTTGTTGCCTTCAAAATTTAGCTGCCTCCTATTAAATGAACAGTTGCTTTTATTTGTGCTTCGTTCTTTCTTTAACATCCCTCCTCCTTATGAGCCTAGGGGAAGCAAAAATCTAATTATACTTTTCAATGAATTGAAGATTTGATTTTGCTTGTAAATAGATAGCTCTGCAACTGAGAATCTAATATTATTGCAGCCATAAAAAAATATAGCTGTGTATATCTTTCTTTAATTGGTAGCCTAATGCAAAAGAATACTGTTTGAGAATGCTTCATGGGGCTTTATGTGGAGCTTATTAGAATTACTGGAGTAGCATAATAAAATTCCTGTTCATTGTGGTGACTGTGTAATTAAATTTGTGCATTATAATTTATTGCTTATGTCAATTTCTGAAAATAGGCACAAGGCAAATTAATTCCTTTCAGATACACATGCTTTAGTTTTAAAATTTTAGTCAGAGAAGTTAAGTCATTGTTAGATTATACAAAATCTGAAAAGCCTAAGCTAGCCCAGAATTGACATTGGGCTTTCCTTTCAGTTTGTGCTGCTGAAAACCATTTTGAGAAAACTTGCTATCATTTCTATAGTGTTTAAAGACTAAGCAGCATAGTGTGAAATCAAATGAAGTAAGGGCTCCAAAAAAATCTTTTAGTATACAAAGAAATATATGTGCAACAGAGCTACACAGGAAGAATATGGACCTCAAAAGAGCTGGAGAATGGGAGATGGTCCGGAGTAAACAAAATACACTGAAAGATGAAAGCAAAACAAACCACTTGGTGCTTCCAGAAACATGAAAAAGCCTATGGAGCCTACTGAGGTTCTATTTAAACAGCTGTCTGAGCTAAGACTTTATGCGTCAGATAACAGTACTTCTCCAAAGAAGTCCTAGGTGAGGAGACGGAAGTTACCCAGGTGTTCACTGGCAGACTTGAATTCCAGCTGAATCTTACCACAGAGTAGGAAATGTATTGGGAGGTAAGAAAATGGAGTACTGATTAGTCAGTAAAAAACCCAAGTTATCATAGCATGTGGACCAGAATCATGGAGGCAGAAGGACAGCCATGCTTGTTTTTTACTGGTTCAGTTGCTTGCAGGGTAAGTGGGACTGTAAGCCATATAGACATATTTTGCTGATGACCTTTTCTGGCTTGCCAGGCATGCATGTTTAGAATCCACTGTCACCTTCTAGAGATGTCTCTTGTCTTAGGCAGCGTGTTTTAGGGATGAGAGCAACTAAAGATGACCAAGTGATTCTTTGTGTACTGTGTAAAACCACTTCCTTCCTGCTCTGATTAGATGATTCTCTACCAGTTTGTTCAACCACGTTTTGCATCTGGGGAGCTGTGAAAGGAGATTTCAGAAGTACAGGGAGTTATTCAAGGCAGTGATACTCACCCTTTCTTCATAGATAAGTAACACATGTTGTTGGAGCATCTAGAATGCTATTCAAGTTTACTGCTGTACAGAGTGCATGCATAGAGTAGAAGTAGCTAACAAAATGCCATGCAAAATTGGTCACTGATGCATAAAATTATTGCATTCATGGAAAAGCATTTTCAGTATACATACATATTTCCATTTACCTTCAAGAAAAAGTAAAAACTGAAGACATAAGTCTTTGAATAACAAGTTCAAGGCTGCCTGCCATTCATCAATGAAAATAGATCACTACAAATTCTTTGAAAAGGGGTTGTGAAAGTTATGGCATTTCTGAATGAAGGTATGATTTACTGCATCATACTCACACAGTTTTCAGTCTGTTCTTGAGGACTGCAAAACCTAGAATGATTAAAAGGATGATCAGCAGTAACAAATGATTTCAGCATTAGGAATGACAAAGACATGTGTAATTAATGAGATGGATACGGGAAGATTCTGAAAGAAGCCAGATTTTGGTAAAATAAAGGACAGTAAAACACCAGAGTTCAAAACTGTTATTGACTGTCTTACATGATGGCATAGAGGAAAAGGGCAGATGACAGGTGATACTGAAAATCTCCACTGTTTTCCATTGATTTCTGTGCTATATCCAAACACATTTCACTGGTCAGAAAGTTATATTACCTATATTTTTATTATCCAGAACTAAATAGTTTTGTGAAAGCAAATTCTGAAGCCACTTCTCTAAGTGAGAATAGCTGTGATTAATGCAGTATGTCAGAAGCCTTCTCTGGCATCACCTCCTGACAATTTCAGCTTTAAAAAAGTTAACTGGCAGGTTGCCATACTTGATGCTGTACACAATTTCAGAGTTGTTTAATTAGAGATTCCTATTCCAGACAGATAATTTGGAGTACCACGCATTTGGCAAATTGCTTCCACAACTGCCTTCTTCATACTTCCACTGTAGTGAACTCCTTTCATTCAAGAAAGAGTGGTTTTCATGTGGAAGTTTCTTTCAACTACAGTGCAGATGAAAAACATTCATCATGTTATCTCATATAGCAACTAGTGTAGCAAACTAAATAGCAGAAAGAAGCAACATGAAGGCAGTTTAAGTGATCACTCAGGCAATGTGTGTAGACTCAAAAACTGACAGCAAGTCAGCCAGTAACAAAGGGTATCAGCAGCATCTTGCTATTGCTCCAGTAAAGAGGCATCAGTTGTTTGTCTTACAGTTTGTCTGCAATCATATTATATTCTCATTTTACTGTTCTTAGATATTCATTCAACAATATACTAATTATATCTATATAAAGACATCACACAAAGGATTTTTGTGGAATCTCAGAACAGTTAGGCTGGCAGGGACCTCTGGAGAACCCTTTGTTCCCTCTGACTGGGTTTACAGGCTCAGCAGTGTCAAGGAATGTTACAAACCCTAAACAAGAATGCATGTTTTTCATTAATCCAAGATTGTGCTTACAGAATGAAAGTGACACATTTGAAAACAGATTTAAAGGTAATATGTGTATGATAGTCAAGAATGTGAGTCCCTTTTCTCTAGTTTTGCAGATAATTTGATGCCTCAGGAACCAAAAGGATGACAGTTTATTCTGTTGTGACAGAAATTAGTGAGGTCTGTCAAGAAAAAGAAGTAATTCTGCTTTTGTGCAAATGTAAATAGTTTTCTTATTTTCTCCTGTTTTGTGGATAACAAATATACAAAGAAATGGAGGCTCTCCCCTTGTTCACAAATAATAGCTCCAGTGCACACGTGTGTTGTATAATCAAAGAATATTAAGATAGTGTATAATCAAGGAATATTGTATAAAGGAATATTGTATAATCAAATAATATTAAGATGTTTTAATAATGAAATAAACAAGAGAGTTAGGCAAAGCAAGACAAAAAGAATAGATAGAACACTTACCTGTATTGTGGGCTCACTCAGGAAACTCCAATGGAGTGAATCTTCAGAAGAGAGATCCTTCCCCACTGGTAGTCAGCTCTTAAATGGGTCTAGGAGGGGTGGAGCCAGCTTGGCTCCACCCCTTCCTGCAGTACAGGTGAATTGCTTTCACCTGTGCTCCCCTGGCTGACTCATTGCTTGCCTCAGGTGATCAATCAGAGGTTCAGGCTGTGACTCAGCAGTTCCCATACATGTGTACTTAATGTGTATCCTTTGATCTGTAAGCAGTAGTGTGGTATTTAATTCCACAGATTTAATCAGCAAGAATACTGTCTGCTACCTATTACTTTTACATAAGTAATCAAGTCAAACTTCAAACTTACCATGCCTGAAAAATATGTGTTTACTTCATTAAAAGCCTGTATTTTCTAATGTACCAAAATATCCAGGAACAGACAGCTAGGGAATGCAAGATGCCAGAAGCCAATGAAGAAACTATGTGAGTGAGATTCAGAGTCCTGCTGAGTGTTAGTCTTGGATGTTCTAGACTGATCAAGGTCTGATCATAACTTTTTTTTATCCAAGTGCTTCCATTCTCCTTCCATGAAATGAGACAGTCCTAGTGTTCTATTCTAGAATGCTGTTACCAGGATAAAATGTTATACTGCAAGAGTCTGATTTCTTCAGTCATAATGTATTCATCAGTACTCAGGACAGACAGATGTTTGTCTTGATGGAAGTGAACAGATTGCCCATTCAGCAATCTTCTATTCTCCTTATCCAGACAGAAAATAATCAATGTGAAGATGAGAGGCAAGAGAGGATCAAAATTGTGTACAGGACTTAGGTTGTCCTTTTGCTTCCAATCGTAGATCCAAACAACAATTCAGGACAATCATTGATTGCAGTAGATTCTATCCAGTGTCCCATCCTGCCAAGAAAATGTCTTGAGTTGAGATTTCAGATGCAGAGCATTGCTGACAACTGGGGCATTCAGAGGCTCTTCCAGACAAAGACTAATAGCCATGTAGAGGTGCACTGGAGATAACAGACAAACAATAGATTTAACTGTGTAGAGCTAAACATGTTCTGTCGGAGGTACACAGTGCTGACTGCTGAGTTGCTTACTCTGATTTGATGAGCATTTCTTGGTGCTGCATCTTGAATGGAGAAGTCTGAAATCACCATTGTATTTGTTTCTTTGCAGGTGAATTTTATACTTTTCATCAGTATTATAAGAATCTTACTCCAGAAGTTAAGATCACCAGATGTTGGAGGAAATGACCAGTCACAGTACAAGTGAGTCATATTTTTAGGCATTATATATAGAATTAAACTAATCTCTATAAGATTTACTGGCTGAAACCTGCTATTAGCAATTGCTGTGACAATATAATCACGTTTAGTTCAAAAGCTCCTAATTTTAGGTGATTTAATATAGGTTGTAACATTATGTTTAAATAGAGATTAACATAGTTTTTTCACACACCAAATTCAACAAAAAGCAGGCAATTTCATAAAGACCAACAAACTACTCTTGAATTTGAGTTTAATTCCATGAAAGAATATGCTTATGCAAAAAAAATATGAGAAATAGTATTTTTCTTTTAATGTATAGGTATTTCATTTTGACATAAAAGTTATTGAAATACCAAAGTGTATGGCTTCAACCTGTTTGAAAACTTCTTTTTTCATTTACAAAACACTTTTTGTTTTAATATTTTAATATATTTTAAGAGGAAGTTGTTCCCATAAGTTGTTAAAAGGAAATATAATGTGCTTCATAGACCTACTCAGTTCCTTTTTGTTTTTGTGTTATTGAATTAATTGAATATGTGAGAGAACTAAATCAACCTAGATGAAATTACACAGTCACCATAGTATTATCTAGCACATTGAAATGCATAAGTATATATGGCAGGAAATCTATATGTATATATACATATATATTTATACAGGCAGGAAATCTGCACATGTTTATTTCTTGAGAGAGAAAATTTTGTTTCCCTGTGGTATTTATGTATTTTGTGAAAACGAAGCATTCCCTTCCTGTCTCTCCCATCATTTTCCATAGTTTACTGCAGTCTTATTAGTTCTGTAACAGCAACCTTGTCCTTCATTGTTCAGCCATATGAATTCTTTGCTTTTAGCAATTGATTGCCTGATTAAGTTTGGATTGGGTAGTCTTTAGCAGATACTCATGGGAACAGCAGATTAACCTTCTCAAGAAATACTGTTTCTACAGATCAAATTAAAGGTCTGGAAGGCTCATTTTTCAAAATGCAAATGTGCTTTCTAAAATACAATGAAGAATAAGGCTATTTTTTTCTGTGTCTTTCCTTCGCTAAAACAGAAAGTGCTATCAGCTGGACAAAATATTGCTACAGGAATGAAGTGAAAGTATAAAACAAGTACTACCCATTTCAAATCATCATTTTTTTTCCCTTCCTCTGTCCCATTTGTGTCTTTACCTGGTTCCATCCTTTTTGATGCTCATTTTACTTTTGCAGTAGGAAAAGTTAAGTTGAAATAAAATCAGTTTTCCACTTCACTTGAGAAACCAGGAAATTTGCTGCCCTCATCATCTCCTTCAGTTGTAAATGAATTTCTTCTGCCAGAGAAACCCTGTTGCTACCACTTACTGATATCACTTTTAAATATGAGGTTTTTTACTATTCTCGAGAAATTTTGCTGTCAGAACTGATTATTTCCACATAAACAGATGTAGCCTCTGGGACACTATGAGTGAAGGAAGGCCTTGAAGACTGACACAGAAAAAATAAAACTGCTTTTAATACCTTGACTATTCTAATAAAGTAGGGAAATCACAGCAGCATCCTTTCATTGTTGAATCCAGTTAGATTCACCAAGAGAGTGATGAATTATGGTACTCAACATTACAGCTTTTTGAATATTATCTGATGCCAGACATCCATAATCATGCATGACTGGTCCTCCATAATACATAAAAGTGATGTCATTAGAGTGAAATGGGTGACAGATGAGGGATAATTAGCAATTCATCATTTCACTGGTTTCAGGGGCAGTTTGTCAAAACTGTCCTGCTTAATAATGAAAAGTTGACATTCTTAACTTCAGTAGTGTCTCATGATAAATTGCATTACGTAATTTATAACATTAAAATTTTTTCATGGGTATATATTTCATACTGTCACTACAGTAGTGAATTTGGGGGTAAATCTGAAATTTCTGATTTAAATATCACAGCTGAGTTTATTCTGGATTGCATTTCCTTGCCTACTTTGCGTATAAATTATACGAGCATCCTTACAGGTGGCAATTTAAAAGAAAGAAACCTGAAAATACTAATTTAAGACATAGAATTCACCTTTACACAAGAACTGTAAAATTTTGCAGGAAGTCAGTATTCCTCCCCATTCTCAACAATTCCTGGTGGTGCTCGGGGACATGATTTAGTTGTTAGAGTTAGGGTAGTATGGTTAGGTTGCGGTTGGCCTTGATGGTCTTTACGGTCTTTTCAAACTTGAGTGATTCTATGATTCATGCAATGTAAAAAATGTCCTGAATGCCCTGATAGCCTCTTGTGAGACAGGCTGCGAACTTGTTGTGTGTCAAAGAGGCACAGCAGAGGACAGGTCCAACGCCCTACTGTTGTCCAGAGGTCAATGGAAAAAATGTCTTTTGATTTAGAAAGACCCTGAAGCCTTCATCAGATTTTGGAAGAGCACAGGGTCAGCCAGATCAAGTAGAGCTGCACACATTAATTTATAAAGGTTATTGTGTGGATAATCTTACAGCAAACTTGAAAGGAAAACAGTTTTTATTAAGTGTCTCCTTTAACTCTTCATAAAATGCAAGTCATATAAGGGTTCATATTCATTTATCTAAATGAAATTGCATTAGGTTCTTACCTTAGTAAAGCGAGAGCTTATCATTAAACTTTGGCTTTTTCTGCTTCATCTATCCAGGAGACTTGCAAAATCCACATTGTTGCTTATTCCATTATTTGGAGTTCACTACACAGTGTTTGCTCTGTTTCCTGACCGCAGTTCCAACAATTACAAAATAATTTTTGAGTTGTGTTTGGGATCTTTTCAGGTAAATTTTCAAGTTTTCATTCAAGTTTTATTGACTTAGGTTAGTGCTGCATACCAAGTAATGAATATTTTCTGTTTCTAGGGATTGATTGTTGCAGTCCTATATTGTTTTTTGAACAGTGAGGTAAGTCTTGTTTTCGTATCAAGGATATTAATTGCTGTTTTCATTAAATGTATAAATAAGTGCCACTATAATTTCACTCTGTGTAACATGTAGCTGTTTTAGAAAATGTTTGCATTCCTGCTGATAGAATATACACATTTCTGTGCAGCAGGATAAATCAGTGTATTTGGGTGAAGAGTTAAGAGCCTTTTGAAATCTAATTCCTTGCAAATGACAGTGCATCTTTACTTAATGTGATCCGATTCTGACCCTGGTAGAAGTTCTGTGAACTGTCCAAGTGAGGTGCAACAAGCTTAGAAATTCATGCAAAACTTGGAACAGAATTTAGTAAATATTTAGGGTATGATGTTGGCACACCAGCTACTTTTTAAGGTATGATACGTGTTAAATAGTATTCTGTGTGTCAGGAAGAATCTGTCTGAAGAAGACAGCTGCTTGCAATGGGAACTGACATCCTTGTCTACTATTGTTCTGGTCTTTGATATTCCAAAGATGATTGATTTGAGGCTAATCACTTCACAAAGTACAAGTGATTAATAGCTAGCAACTATTTTAATAAAAGCCACTCGTGGCAATACAAGTGATACAAATCTGAATTTAAAAGAGGCCTTGGGATTTCTCTTCACAAACACTGTAGGTGCTGTTTTCACCTCAGCTTTGTAAAAACTGGTTAGAATTTGTTCCCAGAAGTCCACATTTAGTAGCCAGTAAATGTGGAAAAGTTTCTCAGGTAAAAAGAATGTTTTCATTTTGTGCATTTTCTTTTTAACGCAGGTACAAGGAGAGCTGAAAAGAAAATGGCGGAGTTTATGCTGGAAGCAGACAGCAGGCAGAGACTACAGACTGCACAGCTCGATCTCTCGAAATGGATCAGAAAGTGTTTCTCAGCTCCATCGGAATTCAAGGGCTCAGTCATTCATGCAGACAGAGACCACTATGATATAAATCGGTTAGGTTCCCAAAACATGCAAAAACTGTGGGATACATTTGTTATATGCAGCTTGATGTGGTATTTTTTAAAATGTACAGTTTATTGCTTGGCTTTTCTATATGTTGGTACTTGGGAAATGGATTTGTGCAGTCAAGCAGGTAATAACAAAGACACCTGCCCCATGGATGCTTTCTGTTCTTTTCTTTAGTGACATTCATACTAGTTTTTATGGTCTCTTGCCATGGATTAGCCATAACTATTCAAAAACTCATTTACTCATTTATGAAGGTCCCTCTTGCCCCCAGCCTGTCTGTGAAACAGATGTGTGGGATCCTATTCAATGTAGGCTGCTTTGTTACCTGATGAAAAGGTTATGACAGGAAGCAGGAAAATTTCTTAAACTATATTTATAGGTAATACTTCTTTCCTTAAGGATTAGGAAATTCTTTCCTAATTATGGAAAAGAAAGCAAAAATAAAGGAATTTGAGGCTATAATTAACCACACTGGGAGCTAAGTGTGCTAATCCAGGAAATCATTAACTTTTCACGGAGAGGAAAAAAAAAAAAAAGTAAGGCTTATTAGCTAATCATATGAATTGCAGGGGCTAATTTCTACAGTTTGATTCCTATTTTGTTGTCCTCTTTGAAAGTGTAGGTTTTTTTTATGTTTTGGTGCAGAACATAGGACTGCCTTTGCAGTCCAAGGCTATTGTAATTGTTTTGATTAAAACATCAGCATTTGCCAGTAGTGCTGTTCTAATCACCAGTTGTACTCTTCTGTTTAAAATCAAAGAGATTTGTGTTGATCTTTTATTAAACAATTTTCTGAAGAGGTGCTTTATTGCTAGAGCAGTCTATCATAAGATAAACAGCCTTGGAGAGCATTACCCATTGAAAATATCATTTTTATTTAATATTTTCATTGAATTATATCTCTAGAACTACATACTTGGCAGCTGAAACAAGAAATATTGCAATAATGTTAGAACTCCCATTTAAGAAATAATGTAAGTTCTCTTAGTTTGATTCTATTCTGTATCTATCTGAGATGATTTAAAATTCAGTCGTGGCCACGATTCCAAAAAAAAAAAAAAAAACCCGCAATCCCTAAAAATGACCATAAAAGGCATAAAGGAAGGAATTCTCAGCAACTCCAAGCCTCCTGTGCAGCCACTTTGTAAAAAAAAGACATGGAACTGACAAGTTCTTATAAATACACATAGAACATTTGCAGTTTTAAAAGAAATAAACCCAGTGATGCTTATTTCTCATGTTATGTTTAACCATGTCCACTGTAAATGACAAGTTTTGCATGAGCATTGTTGACTGATAACAGCAATTGCCATGATATCTCAGATGATAGATCATATGAAGCCAGCAGAAAACAAGGTCAGTAATATTACCAGGGAAAGGGAAGGGTAGTGGCAAGGGCATGTCTTGGCAGGCTTTCATGTACACTCCTGAAAATATTAGTGGGAATACTGTTGGCAGTCATCAGAGTGTCTGTACACCTCTTGTTCTGATTTAATTTAGCTATTTATTGGTTGAACACAATTTAGTGTAATGGGATTACCCTGGAGTGATACATAGTTCTGTCAGATCAAAGACAGGAATGTCCCAAGACTGCCTGAGGGACACATGGACAGATTACTTTCTAGTTGCTGATGGTGATCAGAATATCTAAATTTATAAAGTTAACTTAAATTTTCCCCTTCAGAGATGATGATTTTAGCTAGGTGCTTGATAAATTTAGATGAAATTTATCTACCCTAATTTATGCCCTAAAAAGCCAAATGCCTGTTTCTGAGCTAAAGACTCATTTTAAGTGCCTTCCATATTAGTCAGAAAGAAGTAGGTGCTTGTTGTAGATGATTCATCCCGTGTTCTGCTGTGCATCCAGGGCACATAAGTTGAATCATGGTTTTTTCACAGAATCACAGAATGGCCAGGGTTGGAAGGGACTCGAGGATCATGAATCTCCAATCTCCCTGCCACATGCAGGGCCATCAACCTCCCCATTTGATGCTGACCATTAGACCAGGCTGCCCAGTGCCTCCAACCTGGCCTTGAACACCTTTAGGGACGGGGCATCCACAGCCTCTCTGGGCAGCCTGTTCCAGTACCTCAGCACTTTCTCTGTAAAGAACTTCTCCCTGACTCCAAATCTAAATCTTTCCTCCCTCAACTTAAAACCATTTCCCCTCATCCTGCAGTTATCAACCCTTCCAAAGAGTTGATTCCCCTCAACTAGAATGTATAGAATAGAATAGAACTGAAATCAACTAGAGTCAACTAGAATAGAATAGAACTGAAATGAACAGAAACTTAAGATTTCTCACCCTATGTCTGCAATTAGGCCTCTCCAGAAGAGTCTGTTCAGTTGTGTTGCCAACAGATAACTAAATACTCTCTTTTAAGCCACATAAGCTGATTGACCAAACTTATCCTCCCATAAACGTTAACATGAAGGTAATGAAGGAACCCTACTTAGTCCATTCAATGGGATGTCCCTGTGGTTGACTGTCCTCCATGATAAACCCAATGGCCTTACAACCTGTATTGATTTGCCTGGGTTCAACTTTCAGCAGTTGTTTTTTTAGGTGTTTGCCTTTTTGTCTTTTGTAGATGTGTCATACAATAAAACAAAGTGCTCGTGTCTACGAGAAATTTTCTTTAAGTGAAATCTTTAGAATCTTAACACTTAAAACCATCTTAATTTCCTGAGAAACTAAACATGTCAGACACTTACTCAGATGATTTTTCCTGTTTGTCTTCTGTGCCTCATTCAAATTTAGAATATTTTCATCCGCAGAAAATGGAACATTGCAGTATATCCCTTCAGGAAGGCGTACAACACTGACCACATTTCTCACTCCCACTAAGAGTTGACATGGACATACCATTACTTGTGCAGTCATTTCAACTGCTGACCAGGAGCTGATTAATACTACTGGCTGATTTTTCAACGTGTAAATTAGTGACATTGTTAAAGTACGTTGATCTTGGTGTCTGGCTCAGGTGCATTAAGGCATCCTTTAAGCCACTGAGAGCAGTGCTGGTTTCCATGAAATGCTGTGATTGATAAGTGTTTAAGTAGCTTCTCCATGTATACCATGCTGGAGTGCACTAGAGCCCAACAGTCTGCATCAAACAAAGTGGTGATGCAGTAGCAGCTGAGGAACTTCCCAGTTTAAGCGTATGTTGGGACTGTACCGTAGCGTTAATAACTTGCTAGCCACAAAAAGTGACAGTTTAAAAAGCTTTCTAGAGTCAAGTCAGAGGCAGCTTGCCCCACTGTGTAGCACTTCACATCCTGACACACCCCAGACAGAGGTTTCCCTCTGCCTTTAACATGATGAAGGGGGAAAGCTGAGTGCCTCAGCAAACTGCAGTCTGTCTGATGGTGTGTGAAACAATTCATTGCCAAGTGCACATACCTCACACACCAAGCATGAGGGCTGAGATGAGTCATTGCCATTATTTGTTTCCCTTTCTTGTGAGTGGTAAAAAGCTTATCCTGTTGACACTGAATTTGTCCATTTCAGCAAAGTGATTGTGCCTAAAGTCCAAACTCATTTCTGCAGTTCTTTATTTAGGCAATTTTAATGAAAATTAAACATTCAATATGTCTGATAAAAAGTACAACCAGAAAGTAGCCTGTAGAGAAAGCTACTTTGTGTGTTAGGGTTGTTGTCTGAGCAATTGCTGTGTGTGCAAAGTAATACAGGAAATACTTAAAGTTCCTTCACATTACCATGAGTGCCTAGATAAGCTGTGGGCCACCAGTACTGCCACCTTGATGTAACCAAATAGCAGCAGGTAGTATTGAGCAGTACTATTCTGCTCAAGAGTATTGAAACTCTAATTTCTGACATCTATGTAATAAGAGTATATCAACACGTATCAGTAAACCAGTATGTCAGCTATTTAAAAAAGCATTTTTTGATATGATTTAACCATTCTGAGTTTAATCTGGTTCTGCCCAATGATGACAGTATGTTCATACCATTTCCACTGCTAGCTAAAGCAGTGGCTGAAATGTCCCCAGATCCTTTATTCTCCAGAGCACTGTAGTAAATTTCTGCAGCTTTCCTCCCTCCCCCTTCCTGGAGCATTATTATGGGTATTGTTTTGAAATTCTCTTTTGTTGTCTTTATAACTTTTTATCTGTTGAGTACAGTAATAATTAAAGATGATGTAAATGAATGTGATTATTTTTTACAAAATGTACAGAATATGATGATGTATAGATTAATGCATGTAAATAGATTTCCTTTTCATACTTTAATTCACTATACATTTGCTCTGGTTTTACTCTTCTTTTTTGTTTTAGTGTCACATACCTAACAGCCTTCTCTGTGATGTTGTATATAAAGCTGTGAACAAACAAGCGTTTACATCTTTATGCTATCAGTGATAATAGTAATTAATAACACCATGATGAACTGAAGAGGAGTCAGAATAAAAATTTTAAAGATTTTGCACAGAACTTCTATATGTCAATACCTGTGTGGCTGGCAGCTATTTTCCAAATTACTACATCTTGCTTAATTGTGTTGTCTATGTGTCTTTGAGAAGCACCACATAACAGACTTAGAACAAAAATAAAGATTATGTAGAGGGAATACTATATATCTTATCTCTTTAAGGGAAGAAATGCATATCTATTCATACATCTACAGTGTGTATTCTTTAGAAAACCAAGTGCACTCAGAAACTAGATCTTAGAACTAGGAATAGTTCTCTGGCCTTGGCAGCTGGAAGTTCCACAGCAATAGGATTGAAACTGAACCTTACTGCACAGGAAAAGCCAAGGCTGCCCCTGCCATGGGAGTGACTCATGGAGAGGGATAAATGGGAGCAGGACTCGGTGCCAGCGAAAGAGGTGAGCTTGCACAACAGCCACCCCAACAAAGCATGGACCTCAGCAGGCAACAACATCCCACAGGGACAAATGATAGAGAGCTGTTTTGCCATCCCTCATGGTCCAGGGAGTCTGCTTATCTGTGGCATCACAGCAGTTAACATGACTGGGAAGGGTCGTCTTACCCTTGAGACAGCTGAGCTCTCATCCTCTCCCAGCTCTGTGGTCAGCATATCAGTCTGAACCCCTTTGCATTCAACTACACTGGGGAGGAATCAAGCCCAACTTTTGCTCAGGAAAGACAGCAGCCTGAGTCCAAAGCTGCAGGTTGCTGTGTAAAGGCAGAGTCTGTGTATAGCCTCCCCACAATGCTGTAATTTTAGTAGAGTTTGGGCAGTAACTTAATAGGGAAATCCTGGCTTTCAGGGTGAACTTGTGCTGCACATGCTATGGTGTTAATGGGAAGGTTCCCACGTGTCCAACCAAAGAAAATAAAAATTCTTAGTATAAATAATAGAACATAATAGTATTTATAACTGACTGCATTTGAATATTTTCATCTTTTCCTAATAACATAGGCTGGGATAAATAGTGATCGATTTGACATGAAGTTTAGGTTGAAATACTGTATCAAAGCATTTAATAAGTAAATATATATTGAATCAAACTAGTCATATATTTTGAACAGTCAAAATAAAGATTTTTCTAGATATATGCTACAAAATACAGTCAGTGTCCTGGGTTATGTAATTAAATATTAATATTAGCTTTGGAAAATGAAATCGAAGAGCCAAGCTCTATGTTGAAGTTCTTCATTTCTAAGCTAGTGCCTTCGTAATTGGGACTGCTTTTCAATACAAGCCTGTTGAGCTGTGAGATTCTCTGTTCTGAAAGGCTTCATTTAGCAATGCCCACTGGCCACAGCTCATCCCTGGTTTCCTACTTACATTCTTCACCTGCTCCTAATTAGGCAGAAAAAGCCCAAGGTGCTTCTTTGTAGGATACGAAAAATGCTTTGCAATAATGAACGAATCAATAGGCAAGTTTATAACAATGTAATTAATAATGGATCCTGACTACAGGGAAATATTTTGTTATGCAGAACTGTTTTCATGAGAAGAAAATTGAAATATAATCTAAATACTATAATTAGTATAATATAATCTAATTATATTATACTAAATAATTATATTATACTAAATGTAATACTAAATAATAGATTATTGAAAAATA